CCCAAGGAGCAGGGAGCCCGATGCGGGACTCGATCCCAGGACCCTGGGATCATGACCTGAGCCGAAGGCAGACGCTTAACGACTGAGCCACCCAGGCGTCCCGGAAACCATGTACTTTTAGAACCAAAGATTCCTCAGAGATCATCTGGTCTACCCCTTTACTTTTATAAACAAAGGAACTGAGGCTCAGACATGGCCAGTGACCTGCCTGAGATCACACAGTGTATTAATGTTGTAGAGCCGCCATAAACTAGTACTGCAAACCGGGGTGGGGAGGGTGAGGGAGTTGGGGGGGGTTAAACAGTGGAAATTTACTATCTCACAGTCCTGGAGGCTAGAAGTGCAAGGTTATGGTGGGGTCAGGGACAGTTCCTTCTGAGGGCTATGAGAATCTGTTCATGCCTCTCCCCTAACTTCTGATAATTTGGGGCAACCTTTGACATTCTTGGCTTGTAGACGCAGCACCCTAATCTCTTCCTTCATGTTTATGCAGCGTTCTCTGTGTTTGTATGCCTGCATCCAAATTTCCCCTTTCTATAAGGACACCAGTCATATTGGGTTAAGGGCCCACCCTACTCCAGTATGACCTCATTTTAACTAATTACATCTAATTAACTAATTGCATCTATTTCCAAATAAAGTCACATTCTGAGGTACTGGGGGTTAGGACTTCAACATAGAAATCTGAGGGAGGATATAATTCAAGCCATAATACACAGTTACTCACCAGAAGAGTTCCCAATTCCTTACTCAGGTGTCTTTTGTCAACATCATGGAGTTTGGGGGCCTTAGACACCCATTCAACTTCTCTGCACCTCAAACTTCTCTCTAAAATAGAGGAAGAGCCTATATGTCTTAACAGGTGCTACCCAGTTATAAAAAGTTTAATGCTTTATACCAAGGCATTTTTGTTTTCTTAAGGTCTTTCCGAGTTCTTCAAACATATTAATTATTTAATTATTAATTATTTCCTCGGTGTAACTAGGTGCCACATGGAGAAGAGAAAGAAGCTTAGGGTGGTAGGAAAAACATAGCCCAAGGGTTAAGAGCTTAGGCTCTGAAGGTGAACAGACCCCAGTTCAAATCCCTGCTCTTCCACTTCCTAGCTGTGTAACATGGGGCAAACAGTTAACCTCTTCAAGCCACAGTTCCCTCCTCATTAAAATGAGGCACATGATAGTGACCTTTTGATGAGGTTGCTATGAAGACTAGTGGACAATGCATAAAAAGTGCCTCACTGTCAGCCATTATATATGGATATCAGCTAAGACTTCATTCCTTCCACAAATATTTATTAAACACCAATTATGTGCCAGGCACAGTATGATGAGCAAAACACACAAAGTCCCTGCCCTTATGCAATTTGTCTTTTCAGTGGGAGAGAAAGACCCCAAGGAAACAAGAAGATAAATACTACATTATTGGGTAGTGTGATATGTGCCACGGGGTTGGCAAGTGACAGTAGTTTAAGAACAATGCCTCTGGAGTTCCATAGCCCAGGTTAGAGTCCCAGCCTCACTCTTTGCTAATGGTGCAGACCCGGGTACAGCAAACACAAAGTGTGCCTGTCAACTTCAAAGAGCAGAAGGAACGCCAGGTAAGGCAGAGGAGTGGACACTGAAGTTGGTGGCCAGGTCACGGAGAATTGTAAGGCTTTTGTAAGGACTTCGCCAAGTCATCGGATGGCTTCGAGCACAAGATTGACATGATCAGACCTGCATTTCTTAAAGATTACTCTGTGAGGAGAACAAACTATACTGAGGCAAACACAGAATCAGAGAAACCAGTTAGGAGGTTGCTGCTGTCATCCTCTGAAGTGACAGGAACTCGACAAGATTAGCAGTGGTAGAGGTAGTTAAGAGTTGGAAGATTTGAGATATATTTTCAAGGCGGGCCAACAGGACTTGCTGATGGATTTGAAAATGGAAGCACAGGAAAAGGAGTGAGAAAGATCCCAAGAGTGTGGCCTGGGCAGCCCGTTGAACGGTAGGAATGTTTCCTCTGATGGGGGCATTTGGAGGGGAACAGATTTGGGTGGGTTGGAGGTGCTTTTTGGTCATCCAAGTGGAGATATTGTGGAGGCAATTAGGTATATTGAGTCTGAAGTTCAGGGCAGAGGTCATGAAAGTCCTAAACTTATCAGTGAGTAGGCTCCCTATCTAATTGTCCATGTGGACTAAATCTGTTTTATCCCAAATCACCCCTGACCCAAAATGTGGCCTCTTCAGGAGGTTCTTCAAGAGATCTGCCCACGCCAAGCACTTTGTAATTTTATAGAATTTTACAGAAGCAGCAGTTGGGTCTGGGGAGGTCGCTGTCAACAACACGCTGCTCTCTGGACTGCACAGCTGCCCCTTTCCCTGTTCTCCCTTCACTCTGTCCTCAGACCCACTGAACCACCCTCTCAGGAGCAAAACCAGTTATTTTTCCTGGCAGTTGCACCACACTTAGCATTCATCTTTTGTTGATGGGGTATGACTTGGGGAACTCTCCCTTCAAAACCACAGAGCTTCTTGATATGTTCTTTATGCAATTATATACATTGCTCTCCCAAGAGAAATTCAGATATAAGAACCTTTCTCCATCTTACTCTCTCTTCCCCCAGTAAAAATGGGAGGTCTCACTCACAAACTTTCGGAGAGGTAAGTGAGGAGAAAGCAAAGCTCAAGGGTTTCCTTATGGCTCCCATGCCTTCCCTACCTCATGGTTCAACCCTGCCCATGTCCTTTGCCAGATTTGCACTGATGCTTAACTCTGCTCAGTGGTTAGGACTTGGGCTCTCGGGTAATGATCTTATCTCCTGTTCTTTTTGCCTTCCCCTCAAATTTCACCCCATCACTTCAAGGGCATGAACTCCTCTCCATGTCTTTGATAGAACAATTCTACCAGGCCCTTTTGGTGCTTGAGAATCCTCTTTGCATTTCCTGCTTTACCCAACGCAGCTCTCACATCTCTCTGTAGCTCAGTGTCCCGAGTGCAGGCTCTGGAGTGAGCGTGGGTAGAGACACACAAATAAAAATAAATAAAAAGTGGTTTGTTACAACACAGGGGGAAAGAACAAAAGTGGCCATTCTGGATGCTTTGGGATACAGTATGTCATGTCCAGTATAGCTATTTTCAATACTAATTTTGTTTGTATTCTCTTTTTGTCTTTTTCATCAACTTCTAGCCTAACTTTCAAGTAAGATGTGTCTCCATGTTCTCTAGCTTCCTACATGGAAATCTCAAGAAGAGCCTGGCCAGAGTGCCCGAAACCAAGCGACTGTAACCTCTGTGAGGGGAGGGAGCAGGTCTGGTGCTTTGGTCTCTGTTTCCAGAATGCCTAGCACCATGCCTGGCACAGAGTTGATGCTCAAACATTTGTTGAATAAACATGGATGTTGATTACAGGAAGACCCAGTTAATAGGAAGATGAAAAGAATGTACATTCCAGGCAAGTTGACTCTTAATTTCTCTCACTGGATTGCAATGATCTGTTTCCAAATCTGTCTCCCTCTCAACACTGAGCCCCTCCAAGCTAGGACAATGTTTTTCATTTTGTTTCTTCTTTTTTAATCTCTGTGTTCCTCACCACCAACGACACCATGCTGGCCCTAAGTGAAAGGAGTGGCCAGTGATGTTTGTTGAGGGAATGACTGAAGAAACAAGGAAGAAAACCATGTTATTGAAATTATTTGTGAACTATATCCATCCACTTGATTTTCCTGGGGAAGGAATAGAGTATGCTGGGGGAGGCAAGGTTTGATAAATCCATGTTACAGGCCTTGTTCTGCCCTTTCCTAATTGTGGGCATTTGGTCATCGCTTAAATTTTCTGAGCCTAAATCTTCTCATAATTAAATGGAATGAGCAATAGACAACTAAAGATGGGATCAGATTAAAGCATTACATATGGTAGGTACTCTATAGTCTGGATGTATATTCTTATGGATGAAAGGATAAATGAATATTAAAATACTTTTTTAAAAAATCACCTCTGTCAGGGCGCTTGGGTGGCTCAGTTGGTTAAGTGTCTGCCTTCAGCTCAGGTCATGAACCCAGTGTCCTGGGATCCAGCCCCACATCGGGCTCCCTGCTCAGCGAGGAGTCTGCTTCTCCCTCTGTCTCTGTCTGCCACTCCCCCTGCTTGTGCTCTTTCTCTCTGTCAAATAAATAAATAAAATCTTTACAAAAAATCACCTCTGTCTTTGAAAAGCGTAATGTAGCAATATCTTTTGATTAATTTAGGGTTCTGTAAATTTTGCTCTAGTTAATCTAGGTTTTTCTACATATACCTCAAGATTCCAGGGAGATAAATGCTCACATTCCACTCCATCAATATGGGGCCATGCTGACACCGATAAGCTCAAGGAAACAGAAGGAAACATGTAGATCATATTAGCCTACACTGCTCCAATGCAGCAAATCCCTCAAAAATATGCCTGACTGAAAGCTTCTACTAATAGAGAACTCAGCAAAATTCTTTTGAGATATTGTAAAACAATATTCTTTTTGAGATGGAATCCAACTGTGCTCTTCTAGAGCATTCTCTCTGGTTTACTTTTTTTTTTCTGGAGCCAAATAATGTATATAACTCCTCTTCTAATTTCTTGCTCCAGTTTAAGATAGGAGCCAAACTTTCAGAGTTTGTGACTATGTGACCCCAGGAAGCATGATATAACCACTCTGTGTCTCAGTTTCTTTATCTGTAAAACAGAAGTGATGATAACAAAAGCTATGTCAAAATTATTTTGAGGATTAAATGAATTATGGCTGAAAACTTCTAGATTAGCGTCTGGCCTCCAGTACACATTAGCAGATGTTAACTATATATAGCTAGAGGTAACATGCTTGCTACATTGTAGTTTCTTCAACCATATTTCATTTGACTTAAATTTGTCATTCTGGTCAAATTATCCTGGACTTGCTCACATTAACAGTGCTTTCTTAGGATATCCTGAGTGTCCCAGAAGCAAGCACCATATTTCAGTCATGGTAGAGCACAATATGACTCTTGCCCTTCTTTGTTCTGAGCACTGTTTCATAGCCCAAGATTTTATTCATTTGGGGAGAAGTCAGTGACTCACCCTGATGATTCATAAGGTGCTTGCAGGCAAACAAACCCTTCACACCTTTTCACACGAACCACTGTGAAACCACATCTCCTCCATTCTGCACTCACGGCATTGGGTTTCTTCAACTAAGTGTAGCATTTACACTTTACTGATACATTTCATCTGAAAAACCAGTGGAGTATAGGGAAGAGCATTTTCAGCTGGGGTGTCAGACTGACCTGTGTGTAAATACCAGCGGCAGCACCACTTTTAAGACCTTTACAGAAAGCACTTTGTTTGATTTTCAGTTTTCTTTTCTGTAAAATGGAGGAATGATATCCATATCAAATGATTATTAAGAAAGACTAAGTGACATAATTTATGCAAAGTGTCTAGCACATTCAGGCATGCAATGAAAGGCTAGTAAATCAATGCATATGTATGGGAAAAATCTTTATATTTTTCATTTTAATTCTAAAATATACATTGTTTTTAGCCTAAAAATAATTTTAAATTATGATTCCAATAATTCATTAGCCTTGACCCACCCCCTAGGATCTGTTACCTAAATCTTTGATTATCATGTATTCTATATTTTCATTTACATTGTTAGTAAAATGTTAACCAGGACAAGACAAGGAATGGAAATGTATTAAGTCACCAGCAGCCTTCCAGATCAGCATCAGTCCATTAGTCAGTGTTCCATGGGCAATGGCAGTGAGTCCACTATAAATCCACTTGTGCCCCAACTATAAATTCACCTATGTGCACCAACATATCAGGAAAAACATGATCAAAAGCTTTTGTGAAATTGAGACATATCATGTCTAAAGCACTTGCCTACGTGGTACAATCTACTAACCCTAACTGAGAAAAGAGACCATTATAGCATGACTCGATCTTAGAAAACTCCTCTGCCAAATGACCTACAAACCATACCTTAATAATCTGTTTTAGAATTTCTCAGACAATTGATGTCATGCTTGACAATCTGTACTAGATTCTATCTTTCTTTCTAATGGTTGGGATAATATTTGTCTATCACACACACCCAGATTTATGACATATTTTTTGTTCTCTCTGATTTCTCAAAGATCAGCAATTATGAATAAAAAACACATTGGTAAGTCCTTTCAGTACACTGGTAAATAATATGCCTAGAAACATGAAACCACTTAAAGAATAGAGATGCTCTCCTAACACCTCTTTGCTTTATTTGGCAAGTCTAGCAGAAGAGCATGGTACTTGTGTATTCTTGGTTAAGGGCCTATCTCCTTCTAGCTGAAGAAAACTGCCCTTTTCCACCAAATATACAATTTCAGAAAGGATGTCAATAGAGCAGTCAAGGAGGACAGGGGACCCTATCTACTATTTCAAATAATGGTTCTTTAGCACCTACCATTGTTTAATTCAGTAAATATGTATTGAGTCCCTAATATTTTGCAGACACTCTTCTAAGACATAGTTCTTGCTCCTTATGTACTGGAGGATATAGGAAAACAGATATGCAAATAAAATATTCAAGCATTGTAAGAAATGCTAAAGTAAAGATATGCATAAAGAACACAAAGGCCAGAGCACATCACTCTCCTTTTGGAGGGGAATAACAGACGCACTTTTCTTAGGAAGACCAGGTTGAGTATTCAAGTTTGAGTCTTCAAGGATATAAGAGCAGTCAACAGACCAAAAGGATCAGGAGAAGAAGGGCAGGAAGGGCTGTATTCCAGGAGGAAGGAAGAACACGTGAAAAGAACACATAGAGCTATGAAAGGGTATTGTTGAGGCCCATCCGGATGTTCATGTATTCCACAAGCATTGATTGAGTACATACTGTGGGCCAGGTACTCTCCTAGACATCGGGGATACAGAGATATGCAAACAGAGAAAAGCTCTACTCTCATTGAATTAAGTTGCAGTTAGAGACAGATATGAATTAAAGTTTTAAAAAGTGAATGTGTTATTCGGTACTGATAGAATTTCTCCAAAGGATGGAAATATAGTTACATGAGAATAATTAGAAGAAATCACCTCAGACAATTTATAAGGAAAGAGAGAAGGCAGCATTTTATGACTATAAAAACCATGTTTGCCAAAGTCCTGTAGCAGGAAGGAGCAAAGCACCTAGGAGGGACTGAGAAAAGGCCAGTTTGACTGGAGATTATGGTATAATAAGAAATGAGCCTGGTGAGGCAGGCACAAACTATAACTCACAGGGAATTTTAAGAATTTTGCTCTTACTTATACAATGAGAACCCCCCAAACATTTTAAGCAGGGAAGTGATAAGGTCACACTTGAATTTTAGAGAGGTCATTCTAATTACGGTGTGGAGGGCAGATCCTGAGAGGACGATAAAAATTGTGGAAGACAAGTTAGCATGTGATTGCAATAGTCCAGCCAGAATGATATGAACTAAGGTGGGACCGTGAAGATGGAGAGAAATGCATGGATGTGGAATTATTTAGGTGTTACCTTTACAGATCTTGGTGATGGATGATTTAGAGAAGAAAAAAGGAAAAAAAATACTAAAGAATAAATCCCAAGTTTTTGGCTCGCACAAGTGGAAAGTGGTGAAGTCAGTTTCTGGGGGAAAAAAAAGGAATACCAGGGAGCTACTAGTTGGGGAAGGGGGAGGGAGCATGATTCCAGTTTTGGATATGTTGATTTTTAGATGTCTTTGTGACATCCAAGCAGATGTGAAAGAGACAACTGAATATGATAGTCCGGAATGCAAAGAAGCCTGGGCTGGGAGGTATCCATAGATCATACACATGGTACTTAACGCCATGGGATCTAGTCTAGCTATCTAGGGAGAAAAGAGGGTTGGGGGTACGATTAACCCTTGAGGATCTCTGTTATTTAATGAGAGAATATAAAAAGGTTGGGCCTATAAAGGAGATTAAGAAAGCCAAAGTGAAGGAACTAGGAGTGTGCCAAGAGAATCTGGTGTCTAAGAAGGCTAAAGGAAGAAAATATTTTAAGAAAGAAGTATTCTATAATAAATCCTGTTGAGAGATGAAGTAAAATTAAAAAGAAAAAACACTTACTTTAGTTAGAAATATGGATATTACTGGTGAACTTAGATCATTTCCAGTAAAATGATGGCCCAATAGCCAGTTTTCAGTGAATAAAGGGTAAGGGGAGGTGAAAAATGGAGGCAGTAAGAACAGACGAGAAACTCAGTTATGAAGAGGACGGTTGAGAGAGACTGAGGGAAGAAAGACTGTGGGATCACTGATAATGTCTGCCTGGGAAGGCAGAAGTGGTGTGGTGCAAAGCACTAGTAGAATTCTTCTTAGAAGAAAGGTCGCTTTCTCCAATATACCAGAAAAGGAGGGGAACGGGTTTAAGTGGATTCGGTAGAGGGAAGTTCAAAGAATTCCTTCTGATATCTTTGATTTTCTTTTAACCAAAGAGCATTGGCCCTTTCTCACTCACCATTTCTTTTAACTAGGAAGAACATTTGCTTAAAATCAAGTGAAAACACTTTCAGAGGATGCTAAAGAAATTCAACTATCCAACTGTTATAGGAAAATAAGAGTGCTAAGCCTGAAGAAGTGATAGCTCTACTTGGAGAAGGGAAATGGTAGCAATCTTTGAATATGGAAGTAATTTTTACATAAAAAGAAAATTTGTTTGTTCCTAATTACACTAAGGGTGGGACCCAGGCCGATGGAAGATATGGGAAGATTTGTTTGGATTCAGCATTTACACAAACTAGATTTTTTAACTGTTCTTATTGTGCAAAGAAGAAACGATCTGATTAAAGATGTGGTGAATCCTCAGATACCAGAGTTTGTTTAAAAATTTTACTTGTTGGGCTGATGTAAAGGGGGAAATTCAAGCATGAGATGGGAGGCTGGATGTTGGGAGTTCTATTTGACTGTTTTTTCTCCCCTTTACAGCTTGAAGGCCATTTGTTCTCCCTCTCTTCATCTTGAACCTTATTCTCCCTGAAAAGATAGAAAGATGGAAAGATAGGAAAGAAAGAGATGATAGGAAGTGAACATTATGGGTAGAGTTTTCCTGTGAATTTTTACTTCTACACTATTGGCTATAAGACTTTCCTGTCCTTCCTTGATGTTTTCTTTTTTTTTGCTTGTGTGTGTGTGTGTGTGTGTGTGTGTGTGTTTTGACTTGATTTCCATCAGAGTTGTGAATACAGCCTCTATTGTCCTCAGCAGTTTTTCACCTACCTTATTTTTATTGTTTTCTTACTAAGTATACACTCACATTCATCAAGTGGCCTTCCCGCCTCTTTTGTTAATGGTCCCAAACTTTTGCATTCCCTCTGGGAAGCCGTTCCTCTTCGTACCATTTTTATACCTATTATTTTACTACCGGAGCTTTTCAGAGCACATCTTTGTGCAGTCACATGAGTTTTTCTCATTTCCTTCCTAGGATCCAGGAGTAATGGTCATTTGTGTAGCACTTTATAGATGTTATAGCAACCATTTGTAGTCATCACTGCAATTGATTATCAAAGGACTCCTCGACATGCAAGTTCTGTGCCACCAGCCCAGCAGCAACCCTACTGCTCATCATCACCATCATAATCATCTCCAACTCTGTTTTAAAGATAGGGGTCCAGAGAAGACTAAGAAAGTGCTTCAAGTCATTGCACTGCACAGTCTAAAAGCAGAGACTCAAACTGAGATCTGCACAATCCTAAAATGCAGGCTCTTTTTATATATAAAGCTGCTTCCCAAGGGCTTGTTTCCTCAGCTATTGTAAATTTGGAGTTGGCATAATCACTTTCTCCAAAATCACCTGTTATCTCCTCAACATGCTCTTCCTCTTTGGTGGTAATTATGTGGAATTACAGTTCCTTTAGTCACTTCCCCAATTATAAAGACTGCTTATGAATTATTGACTAAACTTTCTGAGACCCTCCTTTTCCAAATTCTCATGAATTCTAATGTTTCTTAGGTAGTCTGAACCATCTCATCTGAGTCAAGTTATTCTTCCCCTTTTGAGCTCTCTGTGTCTAAATTGTCCTCAGAGGCATATAAATACCCACTTTGACTGTGCATCTAACCTTTCAGTCTGTTGGTCAGTCAATCAAAAACTACGGAGTGCTTGACATATGCCAAGCTCTGTCTAGGCTCTTAATATAGATTAGTAAAAAAGAAATATATAATCCATATAGAGAGAAATTAATCAAATAATTGCAAAAATAAGTGTAGGTTAAGTATTTGTTCTTTTTTGCCCTTTGTTAGGACTTTCATTTTTCCCTTTGTTAGATTTCTTGCAGTTCATATGACAAACCTACTCTATAAACTTATACCTTTACCATATTACAACTTTTCCACAATGTACCTTGCTGTCTTAGAAGCCATGTAATGCATTTCAGAGGCACACAGGACTCAGAGCAAGAAGGGAACTTTGAAATTGGCCAGTCTAGCACTTCTCTAACTTTAACGTACATACAAATCAACTGGGGATCTTATTAAAATGTAGATTCTGACTTAGTAGGTCTTGAATGAGATCTGAAATTCTGCAATTTTGGCAAGCTCCCATATGGTGTTGATGCTGCTAATACATGGACTACACTTTGAATAGCAAAGATCTAGTTCTCTGGTTTATATCTAGGAGTATACATCAAAACATCTTGCTTTTCCAGAATACAGATTCTGAATCAGATTTTAGCAGGGGGCTGGGACATATGAAAATTGAAAAATCAGTCTCAGACTCCCAGCTAATATGAAAAAAATAGGAACTGGGTTTACTATCCTGCCTAACACAACCAAAAGAAAAAAAATAATAAAACCTGACAAAATAGGATACAATGTTTTTCAAGACACTAGACATTAGTCAACAAAGGAAAATGATCTCTGAGAAACAGGAAACAAGTGAGATGAGCCCAACAAACTTTCCTGAGAGAATTTCCAAATTATGGCATAGAGAACAGTAACCCAAGCAGAGCCCAGCCAACTCTCTGAGCTGAGAGTCAGAGGAGAACAAGGCAACTAGAGTTCTCAGGGTGGAGCACCAGAAAGGAGGGAGCAGCACAGAGAGAAAACTCCAGAGGTCCACAGAAAGCCTCCCGTAAGTATATGGCAGAGTACTGATGAGCACACACCTATGAGAAAACAACCCAAGAAAAGGGTAATAAGTACTAGAATGGATGAGATGACAGTGTCTTGTGCTCACATAGAGCTAGAAAGAGTGCCTGTACCTACCATCCAGACTAGAAAATCTTATGATTCATGGGGTATTAGAGTACTCAGAAGGCAATGCCTCAGGGAAGAAATAATCAGCCCAGAATGAGCACTGCTATAGTCTCATCTAATAAATCTTAAAAGCAAGACCAAAAGGGTCAAACTGTTTCCGAGTAACTTAACTGCATCACAGAATAAAGCTTGGGTATATTTCTAGGAACACAAATTATCTAGCACCTAACAAGGTAAAATTCAAAATGTATGGCATCTAATTTATCAGACATGGAAATAAGTAAGAGAATATGACCCATAATTAGGAGAAAAATCAGTCAAGTAAAATTGACTCTGACCTGACAGAAATGTTAGAATTAGGAGGTAGGAATACTGTTGGAGCTATATTCCAAATACTGTTGGAGCTATATTCTATATTCCAAATGTTTGAACTGTAAGGAAAAATAAAAAAGATATGAAAATACAGTAAGTAGGATTAATAACAGATTAGACATTATAAAATAAAAGATGAATGAACTTAAACATACAGTGATAGAAAGTATTCAAAATGAAACACAAAGAAAGGAGAATAAAAAAAAGAAGAAATGAACAAGTCACATTGTCCTTTGAGACAAACTCGAGGGAGCTAATAATGTGTAGTGAGAGTCCCTGAGGGAGGGGGAGGGGTTTATTAAAATCTTTTAAAAAATAAATGCTGGAAAATTTCCAAATTTGATGAAAATGATAAACCCACAAAAACGCTTCTAAAATTTAAGAAACTCAATGAAGCCCAAGAACAAGAAACTTGAAGAAAACTACATCAAAGCACATCACAATCAAATTGCTTAAAGCCAGTGATTCAAAAAAAATCTTAAAAGCAGCCAAGGGAGTGATGGACAGGGCAAGGAATCATGTTATGTACAGAGGAACAAAGATTAAACATATCAACAGATTTATTGTCAGAAATAATGGAAGCAAGAAAGCAATAGAACAACATCATTAAAGTACTGAAAGAAAAACTCTTAACCAAGATTCCTGTACCGAGTGAAAATATCTTTCAAAAATGAAGGAGAAACCAAAGCTTTTTCAGACATACAAAAGGTGGCAGAAAGCATGGCCAATGGACTCCCACTACAAGAAATGTTAAACGAAGCCCTCCAGCAAAAGAGAAAGGAAAACAGATGGAAACTTGGACCTATAGCAAGAAATGAAGAACACAAGAAATGGTAACTAAACCATTAAATACATACTTCTTTCTTATTAAAAAAACCTTTTTAAAAGATAACAGACACTTTAGGCAAAACTGAAAATAATATAGCATGGAGCTTATAAGATATGTAAAAGTAAAATGAATGACAGCTATAGTACAAATATTGAAAGTGAAGAAATGGAAGCGTGTTATTATATGGCTTTTTGTTATATGTGTGTATTAAAAAAATCTTCAGATCAATTCATATAGAACCAATGTCATCATTTTGGGCGGCAAACCTTTGACATTCATCCAGCTTAAAGCTAACAACTTTTTGTATCATTTCAACACCTTTCTCCAGAAGTACATTTTGTTACCAATGCATTTTGGAGAATGCATGAGGATACTACATTGCTCAAAGTTTTATATTCAATGAATAATAATAATAACTAAAATGTATTGAAGCTTTACATATAGTAACCCATCTAATAACCCATCTAAGCCCATTGAGACAGGTCTTCTATGAGCCTGATTTTATAGAAGAATGAGCTAGGGGACGAGCTAATACAGAATAGAGACAGGACACAAACCCAGGAGTTCAGTCCTTTCAACAAAAGAACGTGGAGTGTCTGCAAGCTTAGCCACTACACACACTACCCTCTCTTTTTGTTTACCTGGTTTTGTTGTTGTTTTCTGAGAATTTCTGCTTTTAAAATCTTCGAAGTTAAAATTTTTGTGGCCTCACTGGGCATATCCAAGGATGGGTGCCTTGATTGTTTTCCTCAAAAATCATTTGGGGTCTGTTCTAAAAAACAGCTATATATAGATATATATAGATATAGAGAGGGAGAGGGAGGGAGAGAGGGACTAAGAGAGAGACTGAAAGAGAAGTTCCTGGAGAAATAGAGATTTGTAAAGACAATATTTGACTTTACAGAGCCCACTGTTCATGGGGGAAGGAGGCAGGTAAGAATGTAATGACCAGGGCACTGGGTGGCTCAGTCAGTTAAGCTTTGGATTCTTGGTTTTGGCTTGGGTCCTGATCTCAGGGCCATGAGACTGAGCCCTGTGTTGGGCTCTGCATTGAGCCCAGAGTCTGCTTCAGACTCTCTTTCCCTTTCCCTCTGCCCCTCTCCCCCATTACCCTGCCCCATGCACTCCCTCTCTAAAATAAATAAATAAATCTTAAAAAAAAAATAAAAAGAATGTGTTATTACCACCCAGTGGGGAAAGTACCATGCTGGCAGAAAACAGAGGGTATTATGAAATCACAGAGAGCTTTTTCTAGGTTTCTTTGAGAGATGGGAGAAATATGGTGAGAATTCTGGGAAAAGCTGATTAGAATTTTGCAGTTGCTTCACAATTTAGTTCTGTCTTTTAATATTTGATCTAAGTCATCACGTCTGTGCTTGGCAAGCATGGGCTCATGTGTGCGTGAGCCCCACACTGCCTAACACAAGGGGTTGACAAATAGAGAGTACTCAGATATTTGATAAATCAACAAAAATTTACACACACGCACACACACACATTTAACCCACCAGAAACTGTCTTTAACTTTTTATTTTGTGCCTGTATTTCTCTCTCCAAACTTTGGAACACCTGCAGCTTCTCCAGCTGGGACCCAAGGGTGGAGGTTTCTCCTCAGTCTGGCTTACAAACCTTTCCACCAACACATGTGCCTTTGGGGCTATAACAGTTTCCAAGGGCTGCCGGAACCAGGGATCGCAAACGTGGTGGCTTATAACAACAGAAACTTACTCTCTCACAGACTGGACGCCTGACTGCTAAAGTCAAGTGGTTGGCAGGGCGATATTCCTTCCAAAGGCTCTGAGGAAGGATCCTCCTTGCTTCTTCCAGCTTCTGGTCACTACTCGGCTTGTGGTTGCATAACTTCATCTCTATTTCCGTCTTCACGAGGCTGTCTCTTCTGTGTGTCTGTGTCATCTCCTCTTCTGCCTAAGGATGTCTGTCAATAGATTTAGGGCCCAACCCCGATAGACCGTCATCTTGAATTCCTTAATGATATCTGTAAAGACTCTTTTTCCAAGTAAGGGCACACCCACCAATTCTGAGTGCGAGAAGGTGGGCATATCTTTTGGGGGCCACAATTCAATTCGCGACAGAGGCATCTCCAGCAGGGTCAGGACTAGGGTGAGGAGAGTGAGGCACTCGACTCAGGTGCAAAGTTTAAGGGAGTGCCAAAAAATCCCTAGTAATATAAGTAAATAACAAATTAATAATACGAAATAAATAATAAAAATAATTATTTTAACCAAATATTTCAAAAAGTCAAAATTAAGGCAGAAAGTAAATGCTGCAAAAATATGAAATTTCAAATAAAAACAGGATCAGTATTATCGATTTTGTTTCCTTTTAGGTCTCCACTATGGCTTAGCATTTCACTCCATTCCAGCAATAGCCCACGCCTCTGATCTGTAGTAAGGATGAGCTGAGCCAAATCCTCCATTTCCCCAGTCACAATTTCAATCACCCTTCCCAGAAACATTGCTCCAGGGAGCTTTACTCAGGAGACGAGGCTCACTATGCACTGGGCTTCCCGCTTCCAAAGCAGGCTTATTTGTCTTAGGAGCTGTGCAAACACCTCCTGAGAAGCTAATTAAAATGGAAACCCACGCTGCCAATTCTGGGAAGCCTCCAAATAAGCATCATGGGGCTGCCAGGAAGTGTTATTAATACACACACCCAACCTCTCACTCTGGTGGAAGGGGGGCAGAGGACTCTGAAGGACAAACTCTGAAAGGTGAGTGTGAGGTGAAAGTTTCTGAGCCCCACTGTGAAGCACAGCACAGAGCAAACTGGAGGTACTCAGTATATGTAGGAATGAATAGTGTTGCATGCTGAGTGGATGTGGTTGAAGAACAAGAATAAAGTGTATTTCTTGCTTCCCAGCACCACTAAGAAAGAAATGCTATATACACTTGATTTGTCTGCTATCACCAAAAGCTAAATCAATACCATTGACTGATTATTTAATGCTAAGTAATCAGTATGAAATTATAACCAGTGAAAAAGTGTAATAAAAAATATGATCACATTGCAAAATATTTAAAAATACATAGCAAAACAAATTTTAAAACATAGAAACAGACAAGAGAAAACAGGCCGGAACTATAAGAAAAACAGAGACTTAAGGGCATAAAGATAGACTTTCCCAAGTGGCAATGCAGACTCTACTCCTGGGTGGAAAGACTCAATATCCCAGTGATATAAATTAACCTCAGATTCGCAAATGAACTTAATGTAATTTCAAAAAAGAATCAATGCTGGTTTGGAGGGGGAATTTAACAAACTGATTTCAAAATTCATCTAAAAGATCAAAGTAGGGGCACCTGGGTGGCTTAGTCAGTTGAGTGACCGACTCTTGGTTTCAGTTCAGGTCATGATCTCGGGGTCCTGGGATTGAACCCCACATCAGACTCGACACTCAGTGCGGAGTCTGCTTGTCCCTCTCCCTCTTCTCCTCACCCTGGCTCTCTCTCTCTCAAATAAATAAATATCATCTTTAAAAGATAAATAAATAAATAAATAATCAAAACAATGAGAACAGCTGAAGATCTTTTGAAAGAACAAATTATGGATAACGTGAACTTCCACGTAATTAAAATTAATTGTAAAACTATAAGTGTGGCACAGGACAGTGTTACAGGATAAGAAGATGGACAGATGTAATAGACAGAAAGCCTAGAAACTGAACTTCCTATATATGGGTCTTTAATGCGTGGTGTCATATATATCATATCAAATCATCTTTAAAAAGAAGGCTTGATTAATATTGTTCAAACCTAGAGGTATTTATTATTAGAGAAAAATAGATTCTCATTTTATATTGTTTACAAATAAATTTAAATTGGTTATAGAGTTAAAGGTAGAAGTGAATTATATGAAATTATGGGAGACTACCTTATCTCTAGGAAGAGATAGATTTTCTAAGCATAAAAACAAAGAAAGAAACTTCAAAGAAAAGATTGATCAGTTTTTCTCCATAAATATTAAAATACGTGTGTTAAAAGTCACCATAAACCAAGGTAAAGGAAGCAATAAATGTAGAAAATATAGGCCACATATATGAAAAGAGAGGAATATAATACCTTCTATGATAGGCTTCCCCAAAATCAATAAAGGTTCTCAAAAATCAATAAGAAAGGGAAAAGATGGGTATTCAAAAAAATTAGTGAGGCTCATAGAGAGTTCATTTAAAAAAGAAATTAAGTGGCCAATTATTATGTAAAAATATTAGCTTAACAAAAGAAATGCAAATTAAAGTAACAGTGAGAAACCATTTCTCAAGTGGACAAAATTATCTTAAAAAATCAAACCTAATACTCCAGTGACATTCACGTTCACATTCTCACATACTCACTTCTGGGAGAAGTATCAACTAATACAAGTCTTCTGAAAGTGATTTGGGTACTATACTGCAAAAGCCTAAAAATGATTCTAATTCTTTAATTTAGTAATTCTATTTTTAACTGAAATTGAGGAAGGAAATGATTTAAGTATACACGTAGGTTTATAGGTAACATAGTCACTATAGTATTAATTATATTGGCAAAAAAAGCTTAAAACAGTCTCAATGTCCAACAACATAAAGACAAACGATGGGCTTTTACGATGCCATTAAAATAATTTTTTGAATAATATTTAATTATATATGCTAGTATACTTTGGGTTATATTTATTGAAAAGTATGTAATAAATATGTAAAACAAGCAAGCACATAAACACACAAAGGCATGCTACAAGGAAAAGAATAGCTAACACCAACACGTTATTTTTAGGCTTTTCTGAGGCCTAAGTTTTTGACTGGCTTGTGTTTTGCACTTTCCCACATACTCCACCATTAGAACACATTATTTTATAATCACAAAAGAAAAAAGAATAAAAAACATGCTTAAGAGACTTCATCCCCAGCTCCTAGGATGTCAACACTTGAAAGAGCACTAGCGAGAACCTGACCCATTTCCTTTGTTTTTCAGATAAAGAAAACAAAACCCCAAAAGGCTAGCCGATTGGAAAGGCCAAGTGTTCTTTGTAAGGCCAGCAGCTGTGGGTCCAAATGCCGGACTATCTCAGAGGATCCCTTTGCAGTCATGCAAAAGGAGGACCCACCTGCCTATGGTACTCTTGGGGACGTGGAAGGCCAATGGCAATTCTTCCACTCATCTTCAGCTCTGGCCATTTCTGCTTTAGAGAGTGGAGGCTTTGCTGCCCAAGACAGCAACCCTCACCCGCCAAAATCCTTAAGCAGATTCTGAATTCCTCTGCCCAGAACCTGGGAGGCTCCCTACATATTTCAGAATTGAAGGAACTGAGGGAACCTGGGAAGTCTACCCATCTCACATCCAAATAGACCATGGTCCTCCACTCCTGCCCTGATACCAAAAGTATGTGTTGTGGGTGGAGGTGGTGGTGTCATTTCCATAGACTACAATGGGGACGGCAGAGTCATGCCGTGTGGTGGCTGTGGTCTGGATGGACGTGGAGTGTGCCATTTAGAGAGGGCAGCAGTGGGAAGGCTTGGCAAACAGAGAAGTGTGTGTGGGAAGGCCCAGAGTTTTGACGTGCACGATGAATAGTCCAGCAGCATGGGATGCCTGAGGGTGGGAGGTGATGGCATCCAGCGTGCCTGGATGCAAGAATGCCCTGAAGACGGTGCAGAGGGGGGCTGTGGGAAGTCAAGAGCAGAGTAGGCAATGGGAAGGAAGGAGTAGGAACTGAGCAAAGCAGGGCCTAGCCCCTGACAGGATGAGCAATGCCCAAGAGTAGGGCAAGCTGGCCCAGCAGAGAATTAGAAGCTCACCCTGGAGGGGACCAGAGCCAGATTCCTTCGCTGCCCCCAGGCCCAGGCCCAGCCAGCCTGGACCTCCTCTGTGGGAGCGTCTGGATTGCCGGGACCATATTCCTGCCCTTGCTGTACATTTCCTCTCATGTGACGGACAGTGGACAGCTAACAGGAGATCTGTGGTTTCAAACGAAAAGGGTGAGGCTGAGGCTGAGCTAAAGCTAACCCGAGAGAGGAAGTAGCAGAACTTTGCTGAGAAGAGACTTCAGCTGTGAGAAAAGTCTTCCAGAAATGCTGAAAGGAGGCCTGGTCCACAGCTGCCAGCTCAGTTCATGGATGACGGACCCGCCTGGGTGGTGGGGAGCCTTCGTTCACGTCCCACTCCACCACCTCCTAGCTGTCATGGGCAAGATCCTTATCCTTGCCAAGACTCAGTTTTCTCACATGTAAAATGGGGATGAGCAGTGCCTACCTCACAGGGTTATGGAGAAGATAAAAGGATATATTGCGTAGAGCACAAATATCACTGAATTATTATTAACTCTTCCTTCTCTTTTCATCTACTTGGGGCCCAGATCCATTATTTGCATTTATATTAAAAGAGTGAGGAAAAGGGTAAGGAAACAGCTGCTTTGTGAGTCTCTGCTTCATGCTTTGCACTAATTACCCTCTTAGTCTTCCCCAAGGTGCCCCAGGAGGGCATTAAGGTCTCTCACTGGCAGATAAGTTGTAACTCAGGGAAGTGAAGTCACTTGTGTGAGATGCTAAACTAACTTGAGGCAGAAAAAGAATTCTGTTCGCCTCCAAAATTCCTGTCTGTCCCACCAGCCCGTGTTGCAGTCCCCAGCCCCAATCTCCACAAGCTCAGAGCCTCCCTCCCCTAAACACATGCTGCCATGGGAACAGGGGTCCTCGCCCCTCCGTCGGTGCAGACCTGGAACATGGCCCTTGTTTTACTGGCCATGGTGACCCAGACCAGGACACAGCCAGATGTACCACCCCTGGGCTCAGGACTGTTGTGGGTCACGGGCACCCATTAGATGCCACGCCCAGGGTCCCCTGCCCAGCAAAACATGGCAACTCAGGGGAAAACACTGATCAGAAAAATCTGTGTGTGAGTCTATCCCCTAGGGATTTTCTGGGGTTGGAGGAAGCCTGTCAGGGTATAAAGAATCCAGAGGGATGAGGGGCTGGGAACTATTTTAACGAGGTCAGATCACATGGGGTGGAGTGAATCGGGAGGCGGGGGCTTCCTCACACGGCGCATCCTACCACACTCTGACATGGCTCAGCCTTTTTACTCTACAGAGTAGGAAACTGAGGCTCACACATGCCAGATATGACAGGATAGAGCTGGGCTTGCCATGCTTGGAGATTTTAGTTCCAATTCCAGTTTATTTACTTACGTTGCTGAGTGATGAGGGCAAATGGCTTTACTCCTGGCAGAGCACAGCTACCGCTCCCTCCGACTGAGTGCTGACAAAGGACCGGGCCCCGTCTGGAGCTCCAAACACTCACCATCCCACCGCATCCTCAGAACCATCACAGGACGTGGAAGCCGTTCTTTCTTTTCTCTCGGGGATGAGACGGAGGCACTCTGCAGACTCAAACCCCTTCTGGTAGGGCTCAGAGTGCTCCGTCTATGTCCCGGGGCCACCTTGGGCAGATCCTTCTCCTTCACGGAGCAAGGCGACTCTTGGCAATCAAAGGGCCAATGTTGGAAATTTCTTTTGTTCTTTTGAAAACCAGCACTCGGGGGCGCCTGGGTGGCTCAGTTGGTT